TTCTATGTCTGACTTACTTCACTTATGATCATCTCTAGGTCCATCTGTTCATTCATGTTGCTGCAAATAGCATTGTTTCATTCTTCTTTATGGCTGAGTAGTATTCTATTGTATATATATACCACAATTTCTTTACCCAATCATCTGATGATGGACATTTAGATTGCTTCCATATCTTGGCTACTGTAAATAGTGCTGCTATGAACATTGGGGTGCATGTACCTTTTTGAATTGTCTTTTTCTTGAGATATAAGCACAGGAGTGGAATTGCTGGATCACATGGTAAGTCTATTTTTAGCTTTTTAAAGAATACCTATACTGTTTTCCATAGTGGCTGCACCAAATTATATTCCCACCAACAGTGTTGGAGAGTTCCATTTTCTCCACATCCTCTCCAGCATTTATCATTTGTGGACTTTTTAATGATGGCCATTCTGACTGGTGTGAGGTGATACCTCATTGTAGTTTTGATTTGCATTTCTCTGATAAATAGAGATACTGAGCATCTTTTCATGTGCCTATTGGCCATATGTATGTCTTCATTGGAGAAATGTATGTTTAGGTCTTCTGCCCATTTTTGGATTGGGTTGTTTGTTTTTTTCGTTGTTGTTACTGAGTTGTATGAGCTATTTGTATATTCTGGAAGTTAAGCCCTTGTCAGTCACATCGTTTGCAAATATCTTCTCTCATTCTGTAGGTTGTCTTTTCATTTTGGTTATTGGTTTCCTTTTGTTGTGCAAAAGCCCTAACACATGAAATTTTAATGTTAATTCTTTACCCAAGACAATGCAAGCACCTTCCAGTCTTCCTTCAACCTTCCTTCTGGAATGATATTCCATCATTGTGTATTTTAAAAAAACAATATCTTTCACAATTCACATTTAAAATCTCACAAGATATATTCAATTGATGTTCACAAAGAATTACCCACTTGACCACTTTCTTTGCTAGTTATTCCTTCTTGCATCTGGGAATTTTTTCTTCTGTCCAAAATACATTCTTCAGAACTTCTTTTACTGCAGGTCTGCTATTGGCAAATTCTATTTTCTCTGTTTTGAAAATTTTTCTGATGTGAAAGGATATTTTTTTAGCATAGAATTCTACATAGTAATAATTTTCTTTCGACCCATTCGAGATGTCATTCAGTTGCTTTCAAACTTCCATTGCTTCTGCCACCTGTTGGTGTGATTGTCAGTCCCTTGAAGGTAATTTGTCTTTTCTGGCAGTGTTTAGGATTTTCTGATTTTGGTGTTCTGCAATTTCATTCTAATGTATCTAGGTGCTTGAATCCATGGATTTAAAACTCATATCAATTTTGGGAAAAAATTTAGCCTGTTTGTCTTTAAATACTGCTTTTGTTCTCCCACCTTCTGTCTCAGACCCTGATCAAAGTACATGTTAGAATTTCTCCATCTTATTCTCTAAATATCTTGTCCTATCTTCTGCATTTTCTAGCTTAAAAAAATCTTTCCAGGCTGTAGTTTATGAATTTCTTCTGGTCTATTTTCTGCAGATAATTATCTCCTTGATGATCTCCTCTGGTGTTAAAGCCACTCTATGTGATTGTAATTTCAGCTTTTGTATTTTTTAGTTCTTAAAAGTTTATTTGGTTATTTTTCATATCTGTTTTGTTTTTAGGCTCTTTTTCTGTAGATATTTCAAGATTTTCCTTTTATTTCTTTAACCATACTAAGCATAATTGTTTTTCGGACTATGTTTGATAATTTCAACATCTGAAGTTTTTAGGGACTTTTTTTGGGGGGGGTATTATCTTTGTTTTGTTGACTCTTACTCCTGATGTCTTATTTCTAACGTGATTGACTACCTTATCTTCATGGATGTGGGTTGACTATATCTTCACTGATAGAGTGAATGAATACCCTTTCAACCTCTTGAAAAAATTCTATTGAAAGAGAAAAGTGTGGAAGAATACACATCAGCGTCTTAGCATTCAATATATCTACTTGAGATCAGAGAGAGAAATATAATAGTTAACTTTGATTTCATTTGTAGTAATATTTATATATTAGTTTTATGACTTGAGACTCGTAAAATTAAGATAAAAGCACAGATGTTTTGAGGCTCTTATAATTCCACTGCATCACCTTCTCTCCCTTTAGACTGTTATTAAATCTTATCACCTGGTCAATCCCACCCCTTTATTAAAATTTTGAGAATATAGCTATCTTTACCCAAAGTGCAAGCAATTATTCTGAATGACATTAACACCATGTGCCTAATTGAACAAACCACATTGGCCTCTGAGTTTCTTGACCTCTTCATTTCCCACGATCTTTCCAGCTCATTCCCACACTTTCACAGCCACCCACTGGGCACTATTACCACTTGTTTATTAGTTTGCTAGAGTGTATGTGACAGAATACACAGCCTGGGAGGCTTAAGCAACAGAAATTTACTTTCTCACCATTCCTTAGGCTAGAAGTTTAAGGTCAAGGTACTGAGAGGTTTGGTGTCTTCTGATGCCTCTCTCCTTGGGTTGCAGATGGCTGCCTTCTCACTGTGTCCTTGTGTGGTTGTCCCTCTGTGTCCTAATCTCCTCTTCTTATAAGGACACCAGTCATATTAGTTTAGGGCCCACCCCAATGATCCTATTGTAACAGTTACCTGTGTGAAGGCCCCATCTCCCAATACAATCATATACTGGATATATGGGGGATTAGGACTTCTACATGTGAATTTGATGGGGACACAATTCAGACCATAACAACTTTGTAAGAACTCAGTCTTAAAAGTCAACCATTCAGATATCTCACATTCTGCCTCAAACTCTCTCCCATCCAGCCTGTTCACTGGGCTACTTCTGCTCCACCTGTTTCTGAAGTCACGGGCACCTCTTGTTCATTCACCATTTGATTTCTCTCACCCATTTAGTCCACTCTTAACTTCCTTTTACATCCAGCTTAAATTTCATGATTCTTCATTTCAGTAAGGGTCAATAACACTATTCCAATGCCTTGATCTCCTGGTTTTTTCTTTTTTTTAATGCACATCTGGCAAAAATCCATCCCTGAATGTCCCCAACTAATGTATATTTGCCTACATTGATTACCAAGGGCAGCTGGAGATAATCACACACCAGGAAAGATTAGCTTCTCCATAACTTAGCGACTCAAATGGCCGCCACACAATTCGTGGTGTGGCTTAGCAGTCCTGTGACATGGCTCTCACCAGCTGTCTTTCTCGCACAGTGACCACTGTAAACTCCTCTCCTCAAAGCTTCAAGCCTCCCACTAGCACTCTCACTCTCTCTTCTCAGCATCACTTACTTCACAGAAACTAGGAGCCCTCTGACGGGAACTCTTCCACCTTCCCACTACCGATCATAAAATCCTGTTACCTCTGCAGCTGTCAGCCTTCCTTTTAAGGCCAGCTCTCCCTTGTGACCCTCGGATTCTACTCCCACTGTCCCAAGATTCCACATGATTCATTTTCGTTTTCTGTCATATAAATTTAACCTTACCTATTTACTCAGTCATTTCCATCAGTATTTAAATATATTCAAGCCTCTCCCACTTATAAATTCCGTGACCTTATGTTCTCCTCCAGTGACTGTCCTATTTTTCTTCTCCCAGTTTTCTCAAGGGGATTGATTATTCCCCTCCATTTCCTTACCTCCCACTCCCTCCTTAACACACTCTTATTACTTTCTTGTTTCATAATTCCACCAGATCTGCTCTTCTAAAGACACCAGTGGTATCCATTTAACATTTTTAGTACTTAATCCTTCTTGCCCTCTTAGTCTCAGTCGACCTTGTTGACCCTCACTTCCTCTTTGAAATACCATCTCCCTTCAACTTTTGGGACATTATGCTCTCCTGGTTCTTTCTTCTACATCTTGCCACTGCTTCGCAGTCTCCCTCCCCCAGCCATTGAGTGTTGTTTCCCCAAGACTCTGTCCCAATCTCTCTCCTCACTCTGTTCTCTTGACCTAGGTTATACAACTAGGCCACATCTTCCTTATAAGCCCAAATGTGCCACAGGATATTTGCACATACTATTGTCTTTACACAGTCTTCTCCCTCAAGCCCTCCACTAAGTCATTATGGAATTATCTTCTACTCGTCTTTCACCTTGAGTCTCAGGTACCACCTTCTCAGGAGGCCTTGCATAATCTTTCTCTTGCAGTACCTCTGCAACACTCGTTGCAGTTATAGTTAACATTTATTTATGGCTTGTTAAATAACAGGCTCTCCCATTGAAAGTAAACTCCATAATGACAGAGACTATACCTGTTTTTCTTATTATACTTTTATCTCTAGCACTTTATAAAATTCTGAGTACAGAGTAGGTACATAATAAATATATGTAGAATAAAATAACTGGATGGGTCAACATTTTGAATAATGTATCTATGGAATGTCAACATAGGGATTTCCCATACATAGTTAAATACATGATTTTGGAGCTCAAGAGAGAGGTCTGGACTAGAAAGGTTAATTTGGAGTCTAATTGCCTGTGAGTGGTAATGAAGCCTTGGTTGGCTATAATATTTACCAGGGAATGTTTATGGAGAGAAAGGAGAAGAGGGAAGAGAACATAAACACTGGGAACATCAACATGAAATGAACTCAGGCAGAGAGAGGATGATCCGTCAAAGGGGGCTGAGGCTGTGTATGCTATCCACACACTGCAGATATTCCTTGGCAGCCCTAATTTTAATATTTGGCCAAACATATTTCACAAAGACATTTTTGGCTCAGCAAATATGAACTAGCATCGTAAGGGAAACAAATCTAAACCTAATTTTAACACTTAGCTTATTCATGAATAATGATATAATAATTTTTATTAATAATTGTATATAATGCTTAAAAAGATTTACTTAATCCTACCTAATCCTGTAGTTATTATTAGTAATAAGTGTCTTTTTAAAATGGCTAATATATATAGCAATTATATTTTCCCTGGTTTAAAATCTTTTTTGAACTGTGCTTCTAAAATATTTGCCTAAATGCCTAAACTGTTTAATATTTTTTTAGCCTGAAAGTACTTTACTGATAATCTGTGAGAATGGCTATGTTCTTGAAGCTCCATTTCCAACTGTAAAGGAGGAAGAAGAGGATCATGATGTAGTTTCCTATGAAATCAAAGACATGTGCATAAAATGTTTCCATTTCTCAAGTGTCAAATCTAAGATTCTGGTATGAAATATCCTTTAAGCATTATCTTCTAATTTTTTCTTAGAATATAAATTATTCTGTGTTAAGTGCTAGGGAAAAACAAAGATGATTAATACATTGAGTTCAAGGAGCTTATCTGGTGGAAAGTAGCTAACTGTATTAGGAGGCGGTAATGAATAGATATGAAAATCATGGTGCAAATAAAATTTTAGGGGCATGCACAGGAAAGAATATATGATTCTGATGGAGGGGTGAAAGGAGATCAAGGATGACTTCATGGAGGTGACATTTAGTACTTAAAGAATGGGAAGGATTTTGAGAAGATCAAAATGGGGAAGAAGGCAGTTAAAGCTGGGAGAACATCCTGAAGGAAGGCAGAATTGCAAGAGTTTTTGGTGTTTTGGGGAAATGAAGAATGGACTCTGAGACAGAGGGATGCAATTGTGACCACCACGTGGGGCTCCTTAAACACCAACCAAAGTGTTTTAATTCTTAGGCCATTAGGATCCATTGTGAGTTTTTGAGGAGAGGATTGAGTGATGCGATCATATAAATTTGGAAGTTAATTCTAAGGGGTAAATGGAATAAAGAGGTAAAAGATGGGAGGTAGGGATGCCAGTGTTAGGGGGCTTTTGCAATAGTTGGCAGAGGCTGAGGGTTGAATCACTGTACCACTAAATGTAGAAACAACTTCCCTCGTGGACTATTTCAATATGCCTAATTCATGGAGTGACAGTGATAGGCTCTAAGAGAAATTGTAGTTAGCTTTTCTATTAGGAAAACAAAGTCAAAATACTTTCTGTAAAACCAGGGTCAGTGGGAGTAAGACAGAAAGTCACTCCAATGATTTTAAAATTTTAACAATAAAAATATATCCCCCAAATTGATAATTATTTTTGAATGACATTTTTACATTAGAGCTGTGAGTTTTTGTAGGACTGTCTTCCTCTTACTTTCTTTGTCATCTCTAATAGTGTGAATGAATGAATGAATTATGGCTATGTTTATATCTCCTCAATATCCCTTTTGCAAAAGAGATTAATAGAAATTGAAAAAAGAAAGAAACAAAAGGAGTTGAAGGAGAAGGAAAAGGAAGAAAGAAGGAAGAAGCTAGCAGAAGAGATGGGAGAAGATGGAGAAAGGGAACTCCACAGGGAAGAGGAGGAGGAGGAAGAGGAGCCATTGCCTGAAATCTTTATTCCTTTAACCCCTTGCCACATCCTCTGTGGATTCTACTCTGGACCGGGGAAGTTCTGGGTTTCTTTGGTGAGTAATAATGTAATAAATTTTATTTCAGCCCTAATCCAATATGGTTATTATTTCCAGCACATTCTTCTTTCCTTACTCTGTGTTAAGTCTTCATTTATTAACTACTGTCGAAAGTGTGAATTTTGATGAATAAATGTGAGTTTTTATATCATCTTAGTATCCCTTTTACATGACAACTTATTATATCTGTTATCTATGACAATCATACATGTTTGAGGAGGTCAAAGGGGAGAAGAACCAAAGGAGAAAGGCAAAGGCCAAAAGGCTTTTCCAGCTGCATCTGTTGCTTTAAGATATCGATTCTAGTGACAGTACTACCCAGTAGACTTTTGCTTGCCTTTGATTATCTATAACTCTGCTTTGTGGCCACATGGAAGTCCAGGGAAATGACCGTTTTTAAATGGTGACATTGCCTCTCTGAATGAAATTGGGATGTGGCTAATAAGGAAGAAGAGAAAAATAATGGGGAGACAAATACCCGGGACTGTCACAATTATATATTTTTCACTCTTACAAAACATTTTATGAATCTATTGCAAAGTGATATTTCCTTCATTATAAATTTGTCACAAATTTCAATTCCATTCACCAAAACAAAGTAATAATTGACACAAAAGTATATTTGAAAGATTATCACTAATTCATAACTGGTCTCAGACCTTTGGCCAGGCCAGGGAACTGACTAGCTAAGGACTGTTACTACAAGGCGTGGTGAGAGTTGACTCCTCTCCTCTTCAGCTTTTCTTAGAAATATGTCTTTCATAGCGACTTGTACGAAGACCAGCAGCAAGAAGGATAGAAAGTAGTGATGAAAACACCTTAAGATTCCACTTATTTGTGCATCTACCCTTTGTCTGTCTTCTGTGTTTTATGAAAGAATTATTGATGGCTACTTGTGTGGAGTTCAAGGGGTAAAGGGATAAGTAAGACATGGCCCTGCCCTCTGGAAGTGTCTTCAAACCATGAAGGAGGGGGCACAGAAGCAACTGTGATATAAGAGAGAGCTACTGTCCTTGAAACATACATGCAAAAATTATTAATTTTATAACAAACATAGTGTTTACCTCTCAGGTTGCCACTTAAATATTACATGGGACATACATATATTAAAAATATATTTGTTTATCTGAAATTCAAATTCAACTGTGCATCCTGTACTTAAAAATTTTTTTCCTAGTTTTACTAAGGTACAATTGACATGCAGCACTGTGTAAGTTTAAGATATATAGCATAATGATTTGACTTGCATATATCATAAAATAATTACCACAGTAAGTTAACATACATTCTGTATTTTTGTTTGCTAAGTATGGAAACTTGCTGATTCTATACCAGGCACCAGTCTAAGTGACCACCCTATAAAATAAATGCTCTCATACTTCGCGTTTTACATAAGAAGAAACCAAGGCACGGAGAAGTTAGGGAACTTATCCGAGGTCGTATAATTCATGAGAAGTGGAACCAGGATCTGGACTCGGGCAGTCTGGGTCTAGAGTCCATGCTCTTAACCATTAAAATGCACCGGCACACAAAGTAAGGTATAGTTCAGAGGTAGAGACACTCACCCTGCTTGACCCAACTATTTGCCAACTCCCCAAAAGGCATTTTACTATTGTTTTATATTGTCAGCATCATTTTGGTTTATCCTTTTTCTTGCTGTTAATTCCCTTCTATATCTTTGTAATTGCATCTTCTGCCTAAAAATAGCATTTAATATTTTCGTTAGTATTGGTCTGTTGGTGGGAAATGCTCTGGTTTGGATTTTGAGAGATTTTTGCTTTATAGTGCCTATTTTGTCTTTTTAAAAAATTCTGTTTCTGCTAGATATTTTCAAAACTTTGGTATCTTTTTATCTTTTCTCTTCCATTCTGCCAGCTACATCTTTTTGAAACCTCATGTATCTTTTTTCTCTTGTTGGTTTTAAGATTTGGTATTAAAAGGTCTAATTTCTTCATATATATCTTGCTTGTGGTTCGCAACACTTCTTGAATCTCAACATATTTTTACTCAGTTTTAGAAATTTCTCAGACATTATCTACTGCAATATTGCTTCTAGTCCATCTTTTTACTCTCTCCTTGTGGAATTCCAATTTTATGTATGTTAACCCTCATCACTATGTCCCATACGTGTCTTACACTCCTCTTTTTGGCTATATTTTCCATCCTTTTTTCTCTCTCCTGCCTTTGTCTGTTTTTTACTTTTGTTTTTTGTGTTATTTTGTTTTGTTTTATTTTTTTATTCTGCTCCAGCTTCATAACTCTAGCTTTAGCTTGATCAAGTTGCCTTTAAACCAATCTATTGAATTTCTAATTTCTGTCATTTTATTTTTCAATTCTAGAATTTTCATTTTTCCGTTATGTACTTTTTTTATAAATTCTAGTTGATTTCTAAAATTTTCTATATTTCCTTCAAATTCCTTAAATACATTAATCATAGTTACTTTGAAGTCCCTTTTGAAAAACACCTCTATCAGTCTCTCTTATAATTTTGTCTCTTTGATCTGTTTTTACTCTTATGCCTAGTTTTTGTTTTTGTTTTTAAATTAAATGCTAGCTTTTGTATGTGAAAAACTGTAGCATTAGCTTGAGTCTCTGTATATTGCCATTCTCTTCTGGAGACTTATTTTTGGTTCTGCAAAGCAGCTAGAAATCCTAGATCACTTTCATCCAGTCAGGGACTGAGATGACTTGAAATTAGGCTTTACCTCCTGTGAGTGCCAGTCTATACCTAGTTTACTCATACATGTGGGGAAGAGTGCTCCAGGGTTGTAATGGAAAGCCCAGTGGAAGGTGTGTTTACAATGACTCCTCGTTGGAGGACCCTGGAAATTCTCTCTCCCTAAATCCAAGACACTACAGTTTGCTCTGCTTAGCTTCTTGGCCTCTCAGCTGCCACTTTTAGAATTGGCAGTAGCCTCCGGGAGAAAAAGTGTCCTAGATGGAAAATCTTTGAAAACCATGACCTGTAAAACTCTATTATTAAATACTACTTATTCAGAATAATACTGAAAATGCAACGAAATTCAGTAGGTAGGTAGAAGTGGGAAGAAGACAAGAAGTCTCTCTTATATTGCCTTTTAAGTGGAACAAACCATTGTAAGATGTATTATTATTATAATTATATAATTGCATGTAAATGAAAAAATGGAAATGCTTTATAAAACTTATGATAGAAACCATATAAATATGGATGTTTTAAGACATTTGTTTTATGTTTTAAAATTTGAAATGATCAGAAAGTCCTCATATGCTCATATGTGTCTTACATTCAGGTCCCATGTTCTATGTTGTTTATCTCCTTTGCAGGGCGGCTATGATTCTGGTTTTCTGTATCACTGTGAGTTCCCCCCATACGACAGAAACAGTGATATCACAGTGAAGAAAGATGAACCTTTTGATTTCCGTCTTGTTGAGGATACAGAGGATAATCCCATCAGAACTATCACTTTCAGGTGAACAGAATTTCAGAAAGCTTAAAAAAAAAAACTACCCCATTATTGGCTGTTTTTGTCCATGATGAATATTGTCAGTTTTAAAGAACTGTCCAAATGAAAAGGCACTCAAACAATGTTTAGTTAAATAAAGCAAATGAATAAAGTAGAATCGAAGATAATCCTGAAACTATTTCAATCCCTTTCATCAAACATTCTGTCAGAATGTAGCACGTAATTGAATTGTACGGATTTTCTTTCTGTTGCTTAGGAAGATGCTACTGCATGGTCAGATAATGAAGGTTCAGGGTTACAGTGATTCTGGAGAAATCCCAAATGGAATCATTAGTCCTTTGCTAACTGAGGATTAAGCATATATGCTAGTCATTCTTTTGAAGACCGAAGATAAATAGCTCCAGATTTCAAATTGGCTTTTCCTCCTCTTACCCGTTTGTCTTAATTTGCTAGGGCTGCCATAGTTTGTCAGGGCTTCAACATAAGGATTTGATGGGGACAGTTTAGTTCATAACACCTTGGTTATTAAAAATTTAGCCATTTGTCAATTAATTTAAAACATTTTCAGATCAATATGAAGAAACAATTTATTTTCCTTTTGTTTCATAGCATTACCCAAGATATGATGTTTTGTGGAATGCAAAATGGAGCAATTCGAGTCTATATCCTAAGTCATGATGATCTTTCATTGACCCACATGGAGGAATACTGGCACTTCAATATGCATGACAATGATTATGGATGTGTTAAATCCCTGTCCACTAGCTTTGATGATCGTTTCTTGGTGACTGCTGGAGCAGACAGTAATATCTTTGTTTTTAGCATTCTTTCTGAATTTGAGTTAAAGAAAGGCACGAAAGCCAAAGTGCCATCTCCAAGGGTAGGTAACTATCTGACTAACAACAGTGAAAACTTTATTTTAATATAGTGATATTAAAACACTCATATTCTTTAAAAATGAAACTGTTCAGACACATTTACCTTCCTAGCAGTATTATATTTTTGCTTTTCTGGTTCCTCTGTTACCAAATATTAAAGATGTTGAATTTACCTTATTACTAAAGGTGTAGAATTCCCCCAATTAAAAAGACTATCTGTTTTTCTATCTCAATCACTTTCTCAAATTTTTGTTTTCAAGATGGATTTTTTTTCAGATATAAATTTTGCCTTTTGTTTATTTGTTCGTTTGTTGAAGAGGTGCATGTAGGATGTATACCATAATTTATACCTTTGAGAGGGGTTGTAAAAATAGTCTTTACTATTAGAATATGACAATAGCATCAAAGATTCAGTTAAATTATTTTTAGGCAGAATACATTATTGGCTTTGTAATAAAGATTGAGGGTTTGGATCCCCAAATTATATTTCTTTACCCTATTGTAGGACCTGAATTTTCTATTATCAAAATGGATCCTTTGATAAAATTACTAATAACCATTAGAATTGCTCCTAAAGAATAAGAAATTATATTAGAAAGACCATAATAAAAATTCTTATGAGCATATTGGCTTCCTATTTAACAGGTAGCCCACTTCAAAAGAACATACAAAGAAGGTAGGGAAGATATGACCAGGTAAATTTCCATTTCGATTAATAGCAGCAAGACTTGGAGAATGGACTGTTGTCTAAAGAGATCCAGCTCAGGAAGAGGGATTAAAAAGGAAAAGTGTACGAGCAAGATGAAAATCTTTATCTTTCTACTTAGTGCTAACTCTCTCTATGTAAACCCATATTGGAGAGAAAAAAATCCATTCCACGTTTCCATAATGGTGTTCTTTTATGTACAACTGCGGTCAGTATCTCTTAAGTCACTCAAGCAGACTCTGCTTTTAAGAAGGCAAAATCAGAAAGAATTCAATAAACAAAATAAAAAGCCAAGCTCTGCATAGGTCTGAGGTTCTTACTGTATTCTATAATTACTGGGGAGCACTTTAAAGTATAGATACCTGAGCCCCACCCATGAGCAATTAAATCAGAATCTCCGAAGGTGAGGCCGAGGCACCAGTACAGACCTTCTGCAACTTAAGATACAAGTGGGGTTATGTCCTGACAAACCCATCATAAGTTGAAAATATAAGCTGAAAATTCACTTACACACCTAACCTACTGAACATCACAGCTTAGCCTACCTACCTTAAACATGCTTAGCATACTTACATCAGCCTGCAGTTGGGCAAAGTCAACTACCACAAAGCCTATTTAACAAAAAATATTGACTATCTCATGTAATTTGTTGCCTACTGTACTGAAAGTGAAAAAGAGAATGGCTGCGTGGGTACAGAATGGTTGTAAGTCTGTCAGTTGTTTGCCCTCATGATAGTGTGGCTGCCTGGGAGCTGTGGCTGCAGCAGCTGCCCAGCATGGTGAGAGAGGATCTGTCAGATATCCCTAGCCAGGAAAGGCTTGAAATCCAAAACTTGAAGTATGGTCTCTACAGAGTACATATTGCTTTGCACCTTTGTAAAGTCAAAAAGTTGTTAAATTGACCATTGTAAGTTGGGGACCATACATATTTTATATAATTTCGCCCCACCCCAGCCCCCCTGATTCTACTGTGCCGCCAGGATTGAGAGCAATTGGTACATATTTTGAAATTGTTTGGAAGCCCCTTTGTTTAACTGAAATTTATTGTAGACAGCTGAGGTCAGGAGCTGGTTGGCTGATTCCAGTATCAAATCCTGGAAATCACAACTGATATTGGAAAACCAAGGGGCTTAGTTCTGAGCAATAAAAGAATAAAAAAATTCAATCAAGTAACTAAAATGTATTAGCCATCACTGTCTCTTACCTTGGTCATATTTTATGACTTCACTTTGTGAAAGTCATAAACCTTGTGTTACATAAATGTAGATTTATATTTTATGTGTATAAAGACTAATACTGTAATTAAACAACTTGATCAAGAGAGAATATTTCTTTACAACAAATGACAGCAAAATAGAACAAAGAACAGAAAATAAACAAGTTCAGTTTTACTTGAGAACTGGTTAGCAAACTAAGTCTTTTTGTTTAGTTGGCTGTGTTATAATTCCTCTTTAACAGCTTAAGAAATTTTTCAGCACAGCATCTGAATAAGTGATTTACTTTCATAGTACTCCTTAATTTAAATTAATTTCTAAAGGGAGATTCATATTTCATATCTTTCTCAAGAAGAAGGATTATAGTATCCTATGTATTTCCCATTGAATGCCTTTGATGAGGTCGAGTGAAACACTTAAAATTTTAAAAATACGTATATTTAAAGTGTACACATGGGGTATTTTGGGGGACATCAAACCATGTATGAAAGGGATATGCTAAAAAACAGTATTTTAAAATAAGTGACTTGGAGGACTTTTTGTATTTTTTGTTACTAACACATGAATATTAATAATTCACATTTTTAAGAGAATATGGTGATATTAACATTTTGCATACATGTGATTGAGTTTCAAGACTTTTTCTACCTATCCCTTTAAGTGAAATAGAAACAAATACATTTTTTTCCCTGGTTTATTTTTTGTGAAAATACGACTACAACTGTTAGAAATAAGCAGGCAAAAACTCTCGACTTACTCCTTATTACATATTTTAAGGGAAATATGCAGTTTAAAGGAACTAACCTTTTTTTCCTTTTCCTACAGTTTGGGATAGAATCAGAACCAATTCCAGAAGATATTGATGATCCTAAAGCCTACAGGTATGGGAATTTTCGATAAATATCTTCTAGGCCTGAGCTTTTGCAAAACCAACATTTTTACCAAAGTTGACCAAACTAAATGAATTTCCAAATTATTGAATACTAATTTTCTCTTTGTTTCTGTATCTTTAATCTGTTATCATTTTAAATTTCTGTTTTCAGTATTGAGAATGCCAGAAGAAAAAGAGAACATGACAAATTAATGAAAGAAGTGGCAGAGATCAAGGCTGGAAAGAGAGAACGAATCAAAGCTTTGAGGAATGAATTATGGAAACTACTACAGATGAATGAAGAATTACCAAAACATATGCAGTTCAAACGGACAGTAAGCCTAAAATAAATTTGATTTTAATTTTAGCATTAGGCAATTTCTGAATCGAGACTGCTGTTTTGCCAAGCAGGAATGCTTAAAATCATCTTTAAATTTCCCTTTATCTGGCCAATGTGTTGACAGCAACTAAACTACTGTAGAACTTGTCATACAACTTGGTTTCAATATAGATAAGCCTCTTTAACAAAGTTTACTTCAGGATTTAGCTAATTCACATTTTTTGGGTAATAAGATAGAAATATAAGTTTGAATCTGGTTATCAGTCCTTATCATACCTAGCCAAGATAGCTAACTGTTGGATAGGCACATACTGTCTAATTTGATTTTCTGTGGTTCCATTTCTGTAATTCATCAGCTCTATTGAAAAGATAGTACTTGGTTTATCCACAAAGTTTCTAAAAGAAGACTTGGTTTAGTTGTAGGTATGAGGACACCAAATTATTTAAGCTAATTTTGTGCTAATTTTTTTCTTTTGTGATGTATCACAAAGCCCCCAGCTATCTGCTAGTAATAATTTTTTCCCACTTTTTACATTCTCTTAAATGGAATTACTATCAAGACCCTAATCAAATAAAAGCCCAGAATTTATGCTCCTGACTATATCCATAGATTACCCAGTCCTATAATTCCAGAAGCATTTAGCCAGTTTTGTATATATATACAAAAAACAAACTTCAGTGAAATCGTAATAATCAACTCGTTATATTGGTTAAAATATTAACTTGTAATGGTTAAAAGATGTTCATGTTATTTTCCCAAGAAAAGGATTGACACTTGCAGAATATGGGTGACATAATTCAAAATTAAGAACAACTGAGGTAAGTTCTGTGGCTCAGGGTTATACATACATCATTACTTACCACTTAGTGTGAATGAAGGCCCTGACATCTTTCCAGGAGTGAAGGAAAGAAACATGAGACCTAAGAATCCTTATGGGGAAAATGGCTCCTTTGGTGAAGGACATTCAATCAGAATTTGGTTATCATCAGGAAGATGCCAAAGACACTGCCATCTTTCCTAGGTGGGGTCACATGGGAGGGGATGTTCAGCTAGTGATCAACTGCTATGAACTACCCTGTGCATAGCTGGTTATATAACAGTAGTTGCTTTGGGGTAGAGAGTTTTGTTTTAACTTTGTACACTCTCCAAATATTCTGTTGGCATTCATTGTTTTTATTGTGGGAAAAATCTTTTTTAATATGTAACTTTATTTCCATTTTTATATATAGTGGCTTAATTATTTCTGGGAATTTTTCTCCGTACTTTGTGGCAGTAAAATCAAAAGTATGTTATTTCTTTCTAGAATGAGAGAGTTTGTGGTATTTAAGAGAGAGTTATGTGGCATGAAATTGAAGACAAATCTTAAAAGTATGTATTCATGTATGAAATATGATAAGGTACATTGCTGTAAGTACCCATTTTGATGAACAAATCCACTTACCTGCAGGATTTTGATCTAGATTCCAAAATTCGTGCTGAGATTGACAGAAAAACTGCTAATAAAATTCATCAAGTGGAGAAGGAATTAGCTTGGGAAAAAGAGAAACATCACCTTGGCCTAATGAAGCTACAGAATAGGTAGGATCCATATGTCCTGCTAGTTAAGATATTTGAGAGCATACAGTTGTTTTTTTAAAATTCAAGAACAGTCAATTACAATGTGTCAATCTCTGGTGTACAGCACAACATCCCAGTCATGCATATATATACATTTGTTCGTTTTCATGGTTTTTTTTCCATTTAAGGTTATTAAAAGATATTGAGCATAGTTCCCTGTGCTATACAAAGAAAACTTTTGTAAAGTCTATTTTTATATATAGTGGCTAACATTTGTAAACTCCCAGATTTATCCCCTCCCACCTCCTTTCCCTGGTAACCATAAGATTATTTACTAAGTTTACGAGTCTGTTTCTGTTTTGTAGATAAGTTCATAGTGTCCTTTCTTTCTTTTTTTTTTTTTTCAGATTCTACGTATGAGTGATGTCATATGGTATTTTTCTGTCTCTTTTTGGCTTTGAGAGTATATAGTTGAATGAAGTAGTTTACAGTGGCTTAACTGAAGTGGTCAGATGAGAGGTCTCTGGAAGTACCTTCTACTTCCTAAACTCCCCAGGAATCCTCTTGTCATTGCTGGTGATAACTTCCTGAGCTCACTCCCTCCTGGTTTAATTTTTTTTTTCTACAAACCAAATGGTGGCATGCATATTTACTTTTGTTTTTGACCGATTAATTACTTTAGTTAACTCATGAGCATGTACATATTAAAAAACCAAAAATAAAATAGAACCAGAGGATTTGTAATGAAAGACAACTTTTTGTCCAATCCCTGTCATCCATCAATATGACTTCCTAGAGGAAATTGCTTTTCCTTTTTGCCTTTTTGAGATAAACTTTACGTATAGTAAAGTGCATAAATCTTAATTGAATAGCTTGATACATTTTTTACAGATACATAAACACATATACCCACTACCTAAATTAAGAACTTTTATAGCAACTAGAAAGTTCCCTCATGGCTTCCTCTGAGTAAATATTTACTCTCCAAAGATGAATGTTTACCACCATAGGCTAGTGTTCTCTGTGAACTTCATATAAATGGAATGCTGCAGTATGAACTCTTTTGTATCTGGCTTCTTTGCTTAGTATCATGCCTAAGATTATCCATGTTAATGCAGATAGCAGTAGTTCATAGTTTTTCATTGCTTTGTAATATTCTATTAAATGATTTTTTTTAAACCACAATTTATTAATCCATTTAACTGCTGATGGATATTTGATTTGTTTCTATTTTTTGGCTACCATGAAGAATCCCAATATGAACATTCTTGTGCATGTTTTTAGGTGGATGTAAGTACTTATTTCTGTTTGCTTTATAAGCAGGAGTGGAACTGCTGGGTCATTGGCTCTATACATGTTTAGTTTTATTAGACACTGACAAAAAGAGTTTTCCAAAATGGCTCAACCAATTGATACTCTGATTATCAGTGTATGAGAGTTCCAACTGATTCCCATTGTATTCATTTCCTAGTACTTCTGTAACAAAATACCCACAGACCAGCTGGCTTACAATAACAGACATTCATTGTCTGATAATTCTGGAGGCTGGAAGTCCAGAATCAAAGTTCTGGCTACATTGGTTTCTTCTGAGAGCTGGGAGGGAGAATTCATTCCTTGCCTTTCTCTGAGCTTCTGGTGGTTTTGCGAGTGATCTTTGGTGTATCTTGGCTTGTAGATATGTCACTCCAAATCTTCTGTCTTCACGGGGTGTTCTCCCTGTGTCTCCTCATATAATCTTCCCCTTGTGTATGTCCAAATTCCCTCTTTTTATAAGGATACCAATCATGTTGGATTAGAGCCCACCTTAATGATCTCATTTTTAACTTGATTATCTCTGTCAAGACCTTATTTCCAGATAAGGTCATATTCTGAGGTCTGTGGGGAGGGTTAAGACTTCAGCATATCTTCTGTGGGGGGACACAATTGAAAACATAACATTCATGCTTGCCATCACTTGGCAATGTCAGCTCTTGAAACTTCAGCTATTCTGTAGTAGTGTCTGGGTATGATTTCAATTGACATCTCCCTGGTGGGTGACTTCCATTCGCTTTTCCTAATACTTATTGTTTATTTGTGCATTCTCTTTTGTTAGGTGTTCAAGTCTTTTTTTCATTAAAAAAATTGGGTTCTAGGAGTTATAAATTCTGGATGAGTCTTTTGTCGTATGCATGATGCATGTATATATGACATATCTATGGGTGCATGCATGTAAAATAGCTTGCTCTACTCTGTGGCTTGCCTTTTCATTCTCATAGTGTCTTTTTGAACAGAAGTTTTAAATTTTAATCAAGTTCGATTTGTCAATGTTTTTCTTTTCAATTTATCAATATTTTCACTAACTTTTATGGTTAATGTTCTTAAGTTGTAGTTGAGGAATCTTGGCCTATTCCCAGTTTATGAAATAATTCACCTACATTTTATTCTAGAAGCTCTATTGTTTTGTCATTATCTATCTTGGATTACTTTTGTGGGTGGCATAAGATAGAGATCGTGTCCTTTGTTTCTATAAGGTTAATCAGTTGACCTACTTTCATTCACTGAAAATACCATCCTTTCCTCACTGGATTGTAGTGATGCGTTTGTCAAAAATCAGGTAACCACATATATATAGGTAGGTCTGTTTCTGAACCCTTTATTCTATTCCAGTGCCTCTCTATTTTTGTGCTAGTGTCACACTACCTTAAATATTCTTGTCATCTGAAATGTAAATCCCCTGGCTTTGTTCTTCATCTTCAGTATTGCTTAGGTCCTTTGCATAGGATCAATTTGTCAATTTTCACAACAAATCCTGTTAAGATTTTAATTAAAATTACATTGAGTCTATAGATCAATTTAGATATAACAGACATTTTAAAGGAATAATTGCTATCTACATAAATAAATTAAATTCTAAAATTAAAAAATGAGGAAATAATTGTGAACCAGTGCCAATAGATAACAAAATTTAATTGATGAAGAACTTTGAAAAGATAAATCTCTGTGGGCCATAAGAGAAAGATGAACTGGAAAGTAGTACGGGTTCCTGAGCTTAATGGTTTTTACAGAGACAAATATGATAATATGAGATACATGATATATGGATATATAATCTCCCCAGCTTTATCTATCATATACTAATATGAAATATACATTATATTATAAATGTGTAAAATATATGAGATAATAGGAAGATGAATTACATTTCCTCAGAGTTTGATATGATCCATTTACCAGCAAACTGCAGTCTGCCTGAAAAATTTTGACTCTTCTACATATTAGCAAAACAATGGTATTATACTGTTAATAATGAGATGTTCAGTATTTTCATTAGAAAAAAAATTCTACCTGCTCTTTAACCAAGTCCTATTCAACTTCCGCCACATCCTTATTGGTATACGCATGGTTAAATTTTGGATCCAGCACAATATAATGGTATTATTTATCAGCATAGTATATTGTGGTCTTATTTTACTACTTCATAATCATGCAGAATGATTAAAGTGGTGACTATTTCAGATACTTTTTCCCCCCCAGATTTCGTGATTCATTGGAAAGTGATACTATTGTGGTTCATGCCATACAAAGTGATCACAAGATATCCTCCTATAGGCTTGTGAAACCCTCTAAATACACCAAATCCAAACGGGCAAGTCAGTCAGAGAGAAGACCAAGCAAATTTGAGAGGTTTGAAAAAGAGGGAACTGGAAGAAAGGAAAGCCAGAAAGATACCGGTAAGCTAAATGACAAGAAAGCTTTTAAATCCATATTTAGTCAGATTTCAAAACTGAATTATCTTTTTGTGAGCAGAACCTTTGAATCCCGGTCATGTGACTGAGTGGCTAAGAAGACCCGATGCTGCTGACTGAGTTCCCACATCCAGCTTTTCAAAATCTAGGATTTCCACAGATGCTTGTTTTTCTAGGCAGTGTTCGTTCCCAGATTCCTGGGCCTCACCCTAAAGTGCAGGGCTAGAACACCACATGGATTCCACTCTATTTTCTAAGAGTGTATGCTTTAAACAGAATGATGAGCTGAGGATACAGATGTGAAAATAGTACCTCTAATCTCTGCAGCCTGCCTCTTGTAACTGCCCACAGGGTGACTGCGGATGAGTAGGAGGAAGACAAAAGAATTCTGGGAGAATTCCAGTCAAGGATAAAGGGCACTGCAGCCTTCCCAGACCCTGGCTAGTGCCCGTGATGCAGGACTGACATTAACACTGGTTCATTCTCTTGATTGAGAAACCTTTAATGGTTCCTTTCTGCCTCTAGGATAAGTTCTGAAACCATTATCCCCCTATTTAATCTGTCCACAGTATATTTGTCTTCTGTTTCCAATAGTGCATTCTCATATTGCTCAACCTGCACGTTAGCCTACAGCCCTGCTTGCTGCTTCCTGATTATGTCTGAAACTTCCACACCCATGTTCCTAACTGTGACCAATTCACTTCTCTCCTCTCGGAATTCTACCAGTTCTTGGGGATCCAGATCGAATTACACTTTTATTATGAAGCCTTTCTGTGGCCACCCAGGCCGTATTAAATTCTTTCTTATATGTGGTACCATATAGTTGAAATATAAATGGAAATGGTGGCTTATAACTATATAATCATCTATATTATTTAATTTTTTATGTATATCTAAAGTATATCTCTATGTTCTAGTAGCTTAAACATAAAAAAGAATAATTCCCTCAGTAGATACTTATTAATTGATAAAACCAATTATTTTGTTTTAATTAATTAATTTTTATTGATGTATAATTCACCTACAGCACTGTTAGTTCCAGATACACAACATAGTGATTTGATATTTCTATACAGTACAAAATGATCATCACAAGTCTAGTTATCATTTGTCACCATACAGAATTATTACAACACTACTGACTGTTCCCCATGCTGTACATTTCATCCCCCTGACTCCTTTATTTTGTAACTGGCAGTTTGTACCTCTTAATCTCCCTCACCTGTTTCATCTCTCCACCCGCTTCCCCTTTGGCAGCCATCTGTTTGTCCTCTGTACCTATGAGTCTGTTTCTGTTTTGTTATGTTTGTTCATTTGTTTTTTTTTTAGATTCCATATATAAGTGAAATCATACGCTATTTGTCTTTCTCTGTCTGACTTATTTCATCTTAATACTCTAGATTCATCCGTGTTGTCACAAATGGCAAGCTTTCCTTCTTTTTTATGGTGGAGTAACGTTCTATTGTGTGTGTGTCTGTGTGTGTATAGACGTATGTATATATACTACATCTTCTTTATCCATTCGTTTATTGATGGACACTTAGGTTGCTTCCATATCTTGGCTATTGTAAATAGTGCTGCAGTGAACATAGGGGTACATGTATCTTTTTGAAATAGTGGGGTTATTTCCTTTGGTTTTAAAAATACCCAAAAGTGGAATTCCTGGATCATGTGGTAGTTCTGTTTTTAATTTTTTGAGGAACCTCCATACTGTTTTCTGTAGTAGCTGTACCAGTTTACATTTCTACGAACAGTGCACAAAGGTTCCCTTTTCTCCACATCCTCACCAATACTTGTTGTCATCTTTTTGATAGCAGCCGCTCTGACAGAGGTGAAGTGATAGCTCATTGTGGTTTTGATTTGCATTTTTCTGTTGACTCATGATGTTGAGCATCTTTTCATGTTTCTGTGATAAAGCCAATAATTTTTAAGTTCTAGATTTGTGTGTTTCTTACCAGTTTTTAATTGGCCACAGAACAGTACAGTTGGTATATGTCACCTCAAATTACACATGTCAAATAAGACTCACTTGCTTTTCTCTTCCCCCACCTCATGTCACAAACACTCTTTCCCAGCTTCCTAATATCTGTCAGTGGTCCATTATTCATTACTTTGTTCTCTAATTGTTTAATATATATCTCATCTTGTGAACTTTTTAATAAGGTCCTGAGGAGAAAAAATTGATTTAGATATCTTTGTTTTGGTATTCTAAAATATGTATCATGGGATTTAATTCATAGTAGTTGCCTAATATATACTGTGACTTATAGATTCATTGTATTCTTAGATTTTTAAAATGTGGCTGGTTAAAAACAATATTTGAGAGCTTTATTTTGATGTTTCAAAAAGATTGAAAACAAATGTTGACTTTCTGTACAGGTGGGAGTACTAGTGTGCCAGAAGAGTCAATTATAGAAAGAGGGAAGAAATTTCGGCCTAAAACCCTAAGTGAAATTATGGTGGAAAATCAAATTGAGAAAACGAGGAAACTTATATTAAAAGCTGAAAGGGCCCAACTGAAGATTCAGCAGAGAAAAAAGGAATGGGAAGAACTGTAAGTTTCTTTTTTTTAAACCTAGTCTTTTGTTTTAAAGAGTCTCATGGTATCTTTTAAAATCTTTATATTTATTGACATTGTAATTTAAATAATGAACTAAAAGAAATAGAGATGTTAAAAGACGGGCTAGGCGGATCTTTTCAGGGTTGTGATTCCGTGGTGGAACTTCAATGACCCTTTGAGTTTTGAGTCTAGGAATTTCATTTTACTAATAAACTCAGATGATTTTTAAGGATTAGGAAATTCTTTTCTCTCCCAGCATTAAGAAGCTATTACTCCTGTATGTTCTTCTAACATCTTACAGTTTGGGCCTTCACCTTTAGGTCAGTACTTTCATTTAACAAGCGTATCTTTTCATTTGTTTATTTTCCCCTTATATAACTTTGGTTAAATATCTCTTCCTGTCTTTTGCCCACATTCATTGTTTACTTTTGTGCTGTTGACTTTTGAGAGTTCTTTATTATTTTAGATATTAGTACTGTGTTGAACATATTGTTTGCAAATATTTCCTCCCAGTCTGTAGCTTGTATGTTTTTATTCCCTTAACGAGATCTTTTTTGGAGCAAATGTTTTTAATTATGTTGAAGACAATTTATTGATTTTTTTTCTTTCTATAAGTCTTAGTTTTGGTTTCAGTTCTAAGAACTCTGCGTAGCCCTAGATTCCAAAGATTTTCTCCTATTTTTTTCCTAAAGGTGTTATAGTTTTACATTTTACATTTAAGTCTGTGGCCTGTTTTGCTGTTCTTTTGTATAAGATGTGGGATTTAGATTTAGTTTTTTTTTTTTCCTCTACAGAAGTCTAATTGCTCTAGCATCATTTGTTGAAAAGGCTCTCTTTCCTCCATTGAATTGCTTTTGGACCTTTGTCAAAAACTATTTAGCATATTTGTGTGGGTCTATTTCCAGGTTTATTTTTTGTGCCATTAATCTATTTGTCTATTCCTTGGCCAATACCATCCTTCTCGATTACTGTAGCTATGTAATAAGTCTTGAACTTGGATAAACTGATTCCTCTCATTCTTCTTTTTCAAAATAGTTTTAGCCATTCTAGTTATTTTTCCTTTCCAGTTAAATCATATATTTACCAAAAAAAAAAAACTTGCTGAAATTCTGATAGGAGTTATGTTAAATGTATGTGTTAGTTTGGGGAGAATTGACCAATTTATTATGTTGTCTTCTAATCCATGGACACAGTATAACTCTACATTTATTTATATTTCCTTTGATTTCTTTCATCAGTGTTTTGTTTTTTTCAATATAAAAGCCCTATACCTATTTTGTTAGATGACACACAAATATTTCACTTAGGGGCAAGCATAAATGTGTTGTTTTTTAATTTTGGTATTTAAGTTCATGTTCAATGCTGGCATAGAAATAAAATTGTATTTTGTATGTTTATTTGCTGTTTTGTGACCTTGCTGAACTGTCATATTAGTTCTGAGAGTATTTTGATAGATTCCTTGAGATTGTGTGTAGACAATCATGTAATCTGTAAATTGAGACAGTTTTATTTCTTCTTACCCAATCTGTTTGCCTCGAATTCCCTTTTCCTTTCCTTTTGCACCAGCTAGGACTCCCAGTACTGTGGTGTTGAAATAGAATAGGGAGAGCTGGCATCCACAACTTGTTCCTAATCTTAGGAGGAAAGCATCCAATATTGATGGTATAACTTTTCATTCTTTAATTTCAATCTACTTATATCACTGCCTTTGAAGTTACTGTCTTTTCTTTTTAAATTAAAAAAAAGTTTTTATTGACATATAGTCGATGTACAATGTGTTAATTTCTGGTGTACAGCACAGTGATTCAGTTATGCATGTATACATATTCCTTTTTTATATTCTTTTTTTTAACATTTTTTATTGATTTATAATCATTTTACAATGTTGTGTCAAATTCCAGTGTTCAGCACAATTTTTCAGTCATTCATGGACATATACACACTCATTGTCACATTTTTTTTCTCTGTGATTTATCATAACATTTTGTGTATATTTCCCTGT